TGCCCAAAAGTCTTGACCTAGTCGGTTAGCAAAACCAATCTTTAGGTCTCCACTCCCGATTCTTGTTGGGTTTTCTTAAGGATCAAGGAACTTCGGGTTGACTTCCTTGTTTTATTGAGTTCCATCCCTTCCTTGGCAGATCAAATTCTTAGCAAGACTTCATGTCTTCTCTGAAATTCGGCTTGTTGCGCCTTTTTGGTGATGTTTTTAGTAGTGAGAGCACTTGACACAGTTTTCTCTCTCTTGGAACGCAGTCATTTGTTGATTCTCATCACGGGATGACTTGGTGATCTGTACAAGTTTGTTCTATTTCCTTGTTGATCCTTAAAGTCATGGAGTTCTTGATAACAAAGTGTTCCTTACACTTCCCTTAAATGTACGATTCTAGAATGGGTGCACGAGATCTACGATAAGAAATATTTCTTAGTCTTTAATCGTTTTCTTTTGTTCTTTTGAGACGGAAGGCTATCTCATTCACTCTATCCAGATCCCGGGGTCTTTAGTAAGGCAAACGAAGGGCTAGGGACTGGGATAGAGTTGCGCCATAGGTGTCGGTATTCTTGCTCTTTACAAACTCTTAAAGGAGTCCCTTGAATACTCGAACGATGACTGTGGTTGTAAGAGGTCCGGTCTATCCTCGATCAGTGCGTGACCTAAGGCCTTGTAAGTCCATAGCACAAGTTCCCGACTCGACCTCTTGGTTTGCACGATTCTTTTTGTCAACCATCCTTAGTTGGTTGGATCGTAGAGTTTAACTGTGGTTTCGCAATTCACGCAATCGATAGTATCCTTTCAAAAATGTGGCGTGGTCAGCGTTGTTTACCAAAGTCAACATTTTGAGACGATCTAGGGTTCCCTACCCAAGGATTCACGCTTGTCCCTAATTGCTCCGTAGGTCGGATTTTGTTTACAGTCAACAACCTTGCAACCTTCATAAGGGAGTCGATTATGATCCAACTTTCCCTTTCCTTGTCTTGGTCAATGACAAACCCTCTTGTTCTTCTTTGAAATCTGGCTCACCATCAGTTCCCCGTTTAATCCTCTAGTGACCGCAATGGTTAGGGACGCCTTTCTCTTTCTTGGGATGCATTTGGTCGACTGCCCTTGTCGTCGCATGACGTTTGGCGCCCTTGGGTGTCGCACGTACTTGTTACGGTCCTTTGTAAAACCATCAAGCCTTTTGTGCAAAGATAATATCTTCACTGCAACGGTGCTTAGTGCATTGCACTTTCCACGCATTCGTAACTTCCGCCTAATCCGCCGATCCCTACTTAACCACCATCTTAATATCGAATCAACGAACACCAACTCTCACGTCTTTGGGCGGAGCAAGGGTTTTACACTGCTCCAAGGGTCCTAACAGGGTTTCCAAAAGAGGGGAATATAAGCTTAGAGCAATGGAAATGATTCCAATGCTCATAACAATTTAAGGTTTCCAAGGGCTCAAGTTAGGTAACAAGGGATGAGCAAAGGCATAACGGATGTGAACTGCTTTCAAGAATAATTAAGGATTTGAGGTAGGAGTTTCAACAAATAGGGATATCATGACGCTGAGATTTCAGGGCGGATGATATTTTAAACTGAGGCAAAGGGGTCACAAGACATCGCAATATACTTACCTTGCACAAAGGATTTTAACTAGCAGCGCCGTCCATCTGCTACTTCACTTTCTTGTATTAATTAACGTCCTAGTTCTCTTTCCTGTTTGTTGTAGCGGTAACCTGTACTTACCAAGATAAAGCAACTTGTAAGGAGGTGCACGCCACTTGCTTGAATCGGGGGTCGTGGTAGCTGACTCCAGGTTTGTGAGTATCGCAGCCTGTTTTCTTTGAGTTGACCTCACGTCCCGACGCAAACACCACATCTTAACTGCTTTGCTTTAGCAGTCATCCAAGTCTTCCTTCTCTTGGTCACGGTCTTCGTCAAGTCCTTGGCGGGAACTAGAACGAGGCGACTTACCGGGTAAGTGTACATTACCCGGTTACGGAAGTAAACTTAACTACTCGCACCCTTACCTGGTGTCTTAACTAAAAGAACTGAAGCTAGTCAAAGAACAAGTACAGGAAACTTAAATGAAAGCGATAAACTCACAGTCTCGCCGCGCGTCCTAAGATTCCTATACCTGATTGCTATAATCTGCAAGCGCACAGAGTCAATCACAGTATAAATTCCTGGAGTATTCCAGGGTCGATCCCACGAAGAACACTATTAACTGTTATCTCTAATAATCGAATTGTTGATAAGGAAAATCTCAAATAAATAGAATTAATGTGATTAAAAAGAATATTTATGAATTTAATGCAAAGAAAATTCCAATTGAGAGAAGACTAGGGATTTGGGTTCACCTATTAGATAATTAACTAACTCTCCTAGGTATTAATTCTTATGACTATAGTGATGATTGCTTCAAATATATCATATTACTCCGTCGAGCTACTAGGTTGTATCCAATTAACTGTGATCATCCGTCGATATCTCACCAACATTAATTAAACCCATTAAGCAACAATCAAATATCACCACAAATACCTAAAGCTATGTCTAGTTTAGGTCAATTGTGTTTATCTTTCGAGTTCTAGGTTCATAATTCACCTGTCAGTTCTTCTTATGAACCCTAATATTAGAATTATGCAATGGCCAGTCACACAATCCACAGTTAAAATACATAAAATAAATAAAATCAAGTTCAATTATTAAACTGAAATTGGAAGAATCAGCACATGAAAAATGGTCAATTAATCTAATCTAGGCTAATCCAAATCCCTAATTAAAGTTCTAGCCAATAATCATATTTGAATGTTCAAGAAATAGCATTCTGGAAATTTTAACAAGAAATAAAATAGAGAAGAAGAATAATTCAAGCCTAAGAAAATGATAGCTGAAGCTCTGCTGCCGACGTTGCCGCTGCTCTCTTCTTCTGTTCTGTTATGCCGTCTCGTCTCTGCCGTACGTATTGCCGAACAATAAAACTAAAACAATTCCTTTTCTTTCTTTTTCCTTCTCTACTGCTGCGCCCTTCTTAAGTAAAAAACAAAAACAAATTAAATTAAAGTCAAGTAATTATAACCTAATGGTGCACTTAATAAAACTTAACTATTAAAACACTTATTTAAAAATTGAAGATATAAAACTACCAAATAAATTTAGTCTTATAGTTAAAATAAAACTCTTATTTATATTAATAAAAATGCAACATTAGACTAATATTTATTAAAACCCATCTAAACTAGTCTAAACTAGTAACATATAACTAAATATAATATTTATAATATAATTAACCCTAAAACTTAATTTATTTATGCAACACACTAACTAAAATTACTCTAAATAATGTCTAGAAATTAAGCTTATCAAACTTCCCCACACTCAAGGTTTTGCTTGTCCCCAAGCAAACTCATGCAATGAAATCAAACTACCAACCATAACCATGTCAACTAGACATTCAATTCAAGGGAATTGGTAAACACATAATACTTCATGAGAGTTCAAAGTCATATGCACACAAGACAATAGAGAATAGTAGTCCTCATGATTGTTCACTCAATCTCTCATAAATATATGTATAAAGGAGGTACACACCATCCTCTATTGAGAGTGCACTTGCCATAGGCTTGCTTGTCCACAAAAACTCCACTACCAAAATTATATGAAGAACACAAGTCAAAAGGTCTTTATTTCTGGGTTGTAATGGGGCCAAGGGTATGTGATTTAAGAAAGAAAGGATATAAGGAAATACAAATAAAGTCCAAGGAATCAGTAGATGCATAATTTCACCATATCAAGAGCAAGAACTCGTATTCTACCCATACAATGAACTCTATTAAAACAAGCTATCATTGCTTCATTCCTCCTCATCCTTTTCACTGATAAACAACTTTTAAAACCTCCATCTCTTTTTCATCTTTTTTTTTTTCATTTTTTTCCTGTTTTTATCATTTCCTTCTTTTTTTTTTCCTTTTTGTTTTTCCTCTTTTTTTCCTCTTGTTTTTTTCTGATAAAACCGAATAAATACCTCATCATTTCCACATCACCCTCAATTGTACTCTTCCCATAATCTTCAAATTTCTATCATGCCTTCATTGCTCACAAATCTTTTTAAGAATAAAATGAGCACAAAAGTTAGGGCTAACATGATTTTTCAACCCACAAATTAGAACATATCATTTTGTTCTTTTTTTTTTTTCATTTTCTTTGATCACAACCAATTCCTCACCCAAAGCAAACCAGCTATACAATCACTTTTCAACTCCAATCTTGCCCATACTTCATCACTTTTGGTCATCTTGCACAGATAAATGAAATAATGACATCCACTGACCCAAGGACCGGTTAAGAGGCTTCTTTTTATGAGCTAAGGTTCTTTGGGACTGGCTAATGAAGAAAAATTTCTTATATTAATTATAAAGCTCAAAATGGTTCACTAGGGGAAATATAACATGTATAAGGATGTGGTCATTTTTAAGGCTATAAGGCTAAATCCTAATGCCTAAATCATTCTCGTGTCATCATATAACATGTAGCTCTGAAATGGTATGAAGCAAGTTCTAGAAGTAACACAATCAAAGAGGGCAAATAGACACTCAAAAAGAAAATAAGTTGCAGTGGGCAACCTCTAGGCTCAAAAGCTCACGGTGTGACAAAAATTGACTACCAACTCTATGCAAGCATACATATAGCCAAACACATTCATTGATATTATGCACTCCCAAAACACTAGAAATTATCTCCAATCAACATAGTCATTAGATGGTATTTTTTAAAACTTTATTTTGCTGAAAAATTGCAGAAAAATGAAAAAAAAAAATGACGCTGAAAATCCCATAAAATGCAAAAAATTAGTGCAGAAAATGTAGAAAAAAAACGCAGAATTTTACTGTAGCAAAATGCAGAAAAATAGAGAAAATGCATAAAATGTTGCAGAAAATTACAGGAAAATGCATAAAGAAAAATGCAGAATTTTTTTTTGTCTTATTTGCATAAAACTTGCAGAAAACATCCCCCTACTTTCCCTTCCCCACACTCAAACTCAACATTGTCCTCAATGTTAAATAAGAAAGCAGGTATGAGAAAATGAAATAAACAGGAAACTTCCCTGTTAATTGCCAGTTTCTTCCGGGACTGCCTTTTGGTAAAGCAACCATGAATGGTCTCTTTTTATCTCTTTCAATCTCTATGGCCTTATACGAATAAACTTTAGTCACCATGAAAGGGAAAAACCATCTAGACTTCAATTTCCCTAGAAAAAGCTTAAGACAAGAATTAAACAACAAAACTTCTTGCCCTACATTGAATTCTCTCCAAAAATTATTTTTGTCATGCCAAGCTTTAGTCAATGTTCTCCACAATCTCTCTTCTTTTGCATGAAGTAAATGAGCATAAGAAAACATAAGAAAAGTATCATTGTTACTCAAAAATTCATATTTGAACCGCAATGAAGGTGGTTTAAGTTCAAGTTGATGTGGTGTTTCACTAGGTGAATGCTTAACAAATTCTTCTTCTGAAGGTTTCTCAATAACATCAACAAAAAGACATGATTCATCAAAAGTTGGTAATTTTACAGCCTTAGAGAGAGAGAGAATTCCTCTTTTTCTGTACCTACTCTAAAAATCAATTTCCCTAAAGGCATATCAATTAATACTCCTCCTGTCAACAAAAATGGCCTACCAAGTATAAGAGATATATCTGTATCACTACCCATATCAAGAATCAGAAAATCAGCAGGAAAATAAAATTTACCAACTTTTACCAATATATCCTCCACTACTCCAAGCGGGTACTTGACTGATCTATCAGCAAGTTGAAGAGAGATTGTTGTTGGCTTCATTTCAGCTATTTCTAACTTCTCGAAAAGAGTTAAAGGCATAAGGTTAATACTGGCACCTAGATCACATAAGCATTTATCAATTACAGTATTACCAATAGTGCAAGGAATAGAAAAACTTCCTGGATCCATTAGCTTAGGAGGTAATTTGCTTTGTAGAATAGCACTACACTCCTCATTTAGATGCACAGTAGCAAACTCTTCCAGTTTCTTTTTATTAGACACAATTTCCTTAATGTACTTGGCATAAGATGACATATTAGCAAGTGCTTCTGCAAAAGGAATATTAATCTGCAATTTTTTAAAAACCTCCAAAAATCTTTTAAAGTTATTGTCCTGGTTCCTCTTTTGTAACCTTTGTGGGTATGGAATGGGGGGGGGGGGGGGTACATAAGGTTTTACTGTAGAGGAAGTGAGGTTTTGATCACTAGAATTCTCTTTAGGCACTTGCTCCACTTTTTTATCACTCTCTTTTTCACTCATGGGTTCTTTTTCTTTCAAAATCTTACTACTTCTCAAGGTGACAGCCATAGCTCCTTCCCTAGGATTTATTTCAGTGGTACTAGGAAACTTACCTCAATCTTTTTCTGCAACTAGTTTAGCTAACTGACCTATTTGCACCTCTAAATTATGAATGGATGTTTGGTTGGACTGAGCAACCTTATCAATTTTTGCATCCATTTTCTTCTTCATCGTGTCCTGGCTAGCCATGTATTGCATGAACATCTCTTCTAATTGAGGCTTCTTCTCATGAGCAGGAAGTTGAGACTGTTGTGGTGCAGGTGGCTGTTAGAAAGGTTTGTATTACTGATGCTGGAATCCTAATGGCCCTTATTGCTGAAATCTGGGTGGTCCCGTTGGTCTTGCATTACCTTGATCTCTCCATGAGAAGTTAGGGTGATTTCGCCAACCTGGATTATATGTATGGGAAAATGGATCACTCCTTGGTTGTTGCCTACCCATGTTAGATCCCATGTAATTGACTTCTCCATAAGATGGTTGTGATGACTCTGCATTCATACAAACAAAAGAATTATGACCATATGTATTGCAATAAACACAAAATTCTCTATTCGAACTATCACGAGTCATCAACAAGTTAATCTGTTTAGTCAATTCAGCCATTTGTGTTGTCAACTCAGATTGTGTGCTAATTTCATGCACAGTAGCTCTTCGACCTCTCACTGTCTTTTGTCGAGAATTACTAGCTATGTTCTCATATATAGCTTCTAATTCATCACTATTTTTATCACCTGTGTATCCACCTGCAGCAGTATCTACAAGAGACTGACAATTAGGAGTTAAAACATCATAAAAGAATTGTGTCAACAATAACAATGGGAATTGATGGTGTGGACATTGTGTCAAAAGCAATTTAAAATGACCCCATGCTTCATGAAATAACTAAGCCTCTCTTTGAGTAAAAGTACATATCCTACTCCTATAGTCCATTGTCTTTTGAGATGAATAATATTTAAACATGAAAGCATTGTAAACATCATCCCAAGCTCTTAAAGAACCCTCTGGTAAATTTAACAACCACTGCCTAGCATCACCCCTCATGCAATATGGAAAACATTTCATTCTAAGCTCTTCCTCAGATAAATTATTCAAAGGTAAAGTTTGTACCGTACTATAGAGCTCTCACATGAAACCCAAAGCATCTTCACTTCCCAAACCGTTAAAGGTAGGGAGAATATTTAGATGGAAAGTCTTGAGTTCATAATTCCTAGCTGCATCAGATAATTGAATGCAAGAAGGGTTAACAGCTATTACTGGTCTTTGGATGTCTCGAAGACGTGGTTGAGCTGCTTGATTTTGAGGAGGTGGAACTATTGGTGGTACAGGGTCTCCTGTTGACCCACTCTATTGTTTTCAGCCATTTCAAGCCGCCTTCGTACCCTGTTTTTTCTGCAAGTACGCTCAATTTCAAGATCAACAGAAAATAATTCAACGTTCTTATGCCTTTTTGATCGCCTTAAGTTCATAAACAAACAAAATAAAAATTGAAAAACAAAAACTAAATAAAAATAAAAATAAAATAATAACGAACCTAACAACTAAAATACATTTGAAAACAAAAAACTTAAAGAAAACAGTTTAACAAAAGTGTTCCCCGGCAACGGCGCCAAAAACTTGAATGCTATAATCTGCAAGCGCACAGAGTCAATCACAGTATAAATTCCTGGAGTATTCCAGGGTCGATCCCACGAAGAACACTATTAACTGTTATCTCTAACAATCGAATTGTTGATAAGGAAAATCTCAAATAAATAGAATTAATGTGATTAAAAAGAATATTTATGAATTTAATGCAAAGAAAATTCCAATTGAGAGAAGACTAGGGATTTGGGTTCACCTATTAGATAATTAACTAACTCTCCTAGGTATTAATTCTTATGACTATAGTGATGATTGCTTCAAATATATCATATTACTCCGTCGAGCTACTAGGTTGTATCCAATTAACTGTGATCATCCGTCGATATCTCACCAACATTAATTAAACCCATTAAGCAACAATCAAATATCACCACAAATACCTAAAGCTATGTCTAGTTTAGGTCAATTGTGTTTATCTTTCGAGTTCTAGGTTCATAATTCACCTGTCAGTTCTTCTTATGAACCCTAATATTAGAATTATGCAATGGTCAGTCACACAATCCACAGTTAAAATACATAAAATAAATAAAATCAAGTTCAATTATTAAACTGAAATTGGAAGAATCAGCACATGAAAAATGGTCAATTAATCTAATCTAGGCTAATCCAAATCCCTAATTAAAGTTCTAGCCAATAATCATATTTGAATGTTTAAGAAATAGCATTCTGGAAATTTTAACAAGAAATAAAATAGAGAAGAAGAATAATTCAAGCCTAAGAAGATGATAGCTAAAGCTCCGCTGCCGACGTTGCCGCTGCTCTCTTCTTCCGTTCTGTTATGCTGTCTCGTCTCTGCCGTACGTATTGCCGAACAATAAAACTAAAGAAATTCCTTTTCTTTCTTTTTCCTTCTCTACTGCTGCGCCCTTCTTAAGTAAAAAACAAAAACAAATTAAATTAAAGTCAAGTAATTATAACCTAATGACGCACTTAATAAAACTTAACTATTAAAACACTTATTTAAAATTTGAAGATATAAAACTACCAAATAAATTTAGTCTTATAGTTAAAATAAAACTCTGATTTATATTAATAAAAATGTAACATTAGACTAATATTTATTAAAACCCATATAAACTAGTCTAAACTAGTAACATATAACTAAATATAATATTTATAATATAATTAACCCTAAAACTTAATTTATTTATGCAACACACTAACTAAAATTACTCTAAATAATGTCTAGAAATTAAGCTTATCAATACCCTAAGTACTTAAACACCTAGAGTTCAAGCCTAATGTCCTAAGTCCATTCCTAAAGATCTCAAACACTTAGAATTCAAGCCTAACGTCCTTAAAGTCATATCCTAAAGGCATTGTCCTAGGGTCGAACTTAGGCTCTGATACAAACTGTAACACCCCTAAATTTTTAAACTTTTAAAGCTTATGGAATAGTGGCAAATCTACTATTAATTCCCAAACAAAGCATAAACTAAACATGATAGTCGGGGTGTTATGCCACACCTGAGCTAGAGAACTCAGATACACAGGCTAAACTAATTAACAAAGCGTAATTAATATCCAAAAATAAATCAAGGCATGCTGGCCATCTCATCAAAGCTAGAACTATCTAAACTAAGTCCACGAATTCAACTAGCGCGCTCCGAAGCTACTCAACTGTTCCTGAAAAACATTCGGTGTAACAACCGTCAGCGAATAATGTTGGTAACCCACTCCAACGCGTTAAGTACAATATAGGTAGATATAAGAAACTCATTTTGAAACTGGAATACATATATACTTACGAGACTCTAGTTTAAATCCAAGATCAAGACTCAAGATACATTAACAGACTCGACATTATATAATAATCATAAAAACTAACATGCATCCTAAGAACGCGATACAAGACATAACGGGCAGATAAACATATAAATAACAATTAGAGGCAACGATGGCATTCAAGACAGTCAATTAGCAAGTAGTCATTAAAGCTCACAATTCATCCTCTAACCTTATACCAAGTTCCAACCTTGTAGCTCCCCTCCGTCCTTATATCAGTTCCAACCTATACCTCCAGGCCACGCTTATATCACCACCCCTTATTCCTCCGGGCAACTACATGCCCCCACCGACAAACCACCTATCAACCACCAACATATCAAGATGGTGCCGTAGTGCCATTCACCTGATCCGCTCCTCTAGTGCCAATATCAAGGGGTTAGCGCATATATCTCTAACATGACACCGCAGCACTTATAACCTGACCCATACTCAACGGCAAGCTAGTCGAAGGTGGGTTTGTGCCTTTGGCACAGTAACCGCTATGGCCTGTACCTTTAGTACAATGACCGGGCACAAGTGGTGCTAACTGCCAACAATTCATTTCCACCAATCACAATCTCATCATCATCATCATCATTCACACCGGCCATTGCGCAATGACCACGATACTCATTAGCATTCAATCAATCAACACATAATCAAATAACAATCAAGACACAACAACAACGACACGTATTACACATAAATTCCTAGAACGATACCCAAAAGACCAAACGAGACTCATACACGACAAACGGGGTACAACGGGACACAACGGGACACGAGGAAACAAAAAACGGAGGAAAACATCACGCCTTACACCAAGATTCCAGCGAGTGGGCGGCGTATGGAGGACCACTCGCCGGCCACCCGTCGGCGGCGGACATACCTTCCAGCGGGTGCCCGGCGGGCAGGCGGCTGCCCGCTGGAAAGAAGCTTGGGCAGCGGGTAGGGGGCGGGCACCCCTGCCCCCACCTACCCCCCACTGACTCACAGGCAACTTTTAGTCCCGGGATCTCTCGTGAAACCTGAAACCATGTCCAGACACATTTAAATACAAAACGACAACACCACGTACTCAATTAACGGGATTACACCAAGAATTATACCAAATACGTTTTAACACGACTCCTAAACACGCCAAGACTCCACATTAATCATATAACAGTTTAGGGACATCCGGAACCTCAAGAACATCAAGAAATCTATATGCAAAGTCCTAAATACAAATCCTAGGCTAGACTCAACACCCGATCATACATAATCCCACCCTGATATACCAATAGCATTATAATACAAAAATCACGTTTATAAACCCTAGGGCTCTAGACATAATCAAAATACGAGATCATTCTTATAATCAATCACAATATCAAAAACATCAAGATTATCAAATAAACACAATATAAACACTAGACAAGGCTCTATCAAGACTCAATCACAGAATTACACATACGATTATCAAAGGAGATATAGCAAGGAAAATAGATTTTGTCGAGACATGGGTTACCTCATTCGCTTAGCCATCCAAAACACCGTCAAAGGAACCTGTGAACCAAATCGAACTTTCACTAAATAACCGAGCTAATAGAATAATTAAACCCTAGAGGGTTTGAACCCTAGATTTCTCCCAACACTAAAAGTATCCTACCCAACAAAGCTAGCCATCTCTTTGATAACTATACGCATTATTAGCTAATCAACCCTAACCTATGATAATCAGTTATTTAATTATGAGCCCGCCATTATACATCATCATCCAAATCCAAAATGATACTATGCATGTATAACTAAATATGATGACAACAAGGTTCAAACCCTAGCATCTCAAGAAGCCAACCGCAAGCCTTGCCACAAGATCTAATCAACTCTTTAGTGATTTACAACCAATATTATTCCTAAATACGAGATTAACTTCGAAAGTAGTACTTACCTTCTAACACATCTTCTTCTCGCCATGCAACTGCTTCACGCCATTACCATCGTCAAGGCAGCCGGGAGAAGGAATTCACCGGAGGAGAAACCGCGACGCCCAGCCGAGACTACAACCGAGTTCCACCGTCAGTTTCACCGGGAAGGGGGAACGCCCGTCGCCGACGAACCTGCTTGCTCTGCCGATGCCGTCCGTAGTCTGCTGCTGCTGGAGTTCCCCCGTTGGCCGAGGGTAAGGGAAACGGAGGGAAGGGAGGGAGGCACGGCGAGAGGGTTCGTACGCCGACTATGCCGCAGCCGTCCATCTTCATGCTCGCCGTCGGGTGGTCGGGAATGGTTAGGGAGAGACGGAAGGGGTGAAGGGCGAAGGAACACAAAGTCAACTCATGACTGCTGAAGGCTATATACCATTCGATCGTTCCAGCTACTGTGAACGGGAATGGGAGAAGGAGAAAGGTGATACGGGAGGTTTGTTCTGCTGCGTTCTTGCCAAGGCCGATGGAAGGATGAGATGAAAGGTTCTGGTTCTTGAAGCTTACGTACATATATATATATATATATATATATAGATTAAGGATCAAATGAGGACTCATTCTTAGGTGAGGACGTGAGGACTAATCTTGTGCCTTCGTTATTTTTATTTCGATGGCCCGGATTTAATTTCCTAAGATGACATGGATTGATTTTTTTGTTAAAGATGGATAGTAGTGTCTTTTTTTTTTTTTTTTTTTTTTAATTTTTTTAAAGTGTGAACACATGTGTAATCCTTGCCTTAATTGGTTTCCTATTTTTTTTGAATCACCACCGTTGCGATTTGGAGCCACCATTTCTTCATCATTGATTGAGTGTTCGCCCACACAATGTAATCGGTATTTTTTTATTTTTTTCGCTCTTTCTTTTGAATATAATATTGCCTATATTTGGATGGTCGTGTATATGTACAAATGCCTGGATTGTACGATTGTGCATTCATGTGTGCTGGTTGTGCATCCTATTGTTGTAGTGTGCACCGTAGGCTGGTGAGTTGTGCATTACAGCATTAGTGCACATTGTTCACTGCATCGTAGGACATTGAGATGTGCACTGTAGGGTTTTTAGGTGGTGTTCAAATGCACAACTAAAGACTTATCGATGCTCAACACTCTGTATAGGAATGCACAATATTTTGTATAGTAATGCGCATATTCTAATAAGACTAATTTACCCATAAATTTATATTTTTTAAATATTTTAAAGGGATTTGTTTCCTTAATTCGTGTGATTTGTTCATTTTAATCTCAGTCATACTTTATTATGATTTAATGGTCTAGATTAATCCTCACGTCCTCACCTAAGGTTGGGTACTCACTTGATCCTCACCCTCTATATATATATATATATATATATATATATATATATATATATATATATATAGGGTTATAGGGTGCTTCTCTGGTGCACACCACTCTTAACGTGTGAACTTGTGAAATAACGTGGTGCATTGATCTTTTTGATCTGTTGGCTCATGATAGCAGTGCATCGCGCATGCTATGGACAGCACGTCAGGGTGGTTTGAGGGCACTCCCGTAAAAACACAACGCATTGCGTTTCAAATGGGGATCCCGCGTCTACCCCTGTGCGTGTGAGATTACCTGTTCGGCGTCAGTGATTGGTGGCGGAAACTCAGAGCGTGATTTCGATGTGCGACGCGGTGGCTCTAATGGCGAGCATGGTTACGACCACAAGTTTGGACGTCCGTTCGATGGGTAGTGAACGAAGTTCTCACAGCACGGATGGTTCCCCAGATGCGCATCCCAAATTTTGGAGGCCGGTTGTTGACAGTGCAATCACGCCGACTGTCGGTCGCCGGTTTGCGTCATTGGATCAAGGCATACAGTTCTATACAGACTACGCACGGGTGTGCGGTTTTGATGTTCGTCTGTACACCCTCAAACGGTACCGGGAGGGTGAAATCGTGATGCGGTACTTGGTATGCAGCCGGCAGGGAGTTAAGGGTGGTGGGGCTTGGAAGCTGACACAGCACCATGGTAGCAGTGGTGGAAAACCCAAGCAGCGTAGGAGGAGGATATCTAACTGGGTCTAGTGCCGAGCGAGGATTTGCTTTAAAATGGAGAGCCCCGGGGAGTTTGAGGTTGGTATCTTTGTAAATGAGCACAGTCACCCTATGTGCTCTGAGGCGTCAAAGACATTTATGCGAGTGAACCGAAAGCTGGATGTGGCACAGCAGTCCTTCGTAGCAAGCTGTGTTAAAGCGAACGTTGGATCGTCCAAGAGTTTCAACCTGTGCAGGGAGGTGACTGGGGCGTACGCAAGCATGGGCGCTACAGATACTGAGTTCCACAATTTTAAACGGGACTTATAGACATACGTGTCAGTCCATGACAGGGAGATGATTATCGAGAAATTCAGAACGAAGCGCGATGCATGTGAGAACTTTTTTTTTATCACTCCCTCGATGACGAGAACCATTTAGCACAGCTCGTTTGGGCTGACCTAATCGGTTGCAGCAACTTTTCTGTATTTGGGGACGTGATCTCATTTGATGCGACGTATGGTACAAACAGGTACGAGCACGAATGTTGTTGCTATCCAGTGAAGACTACTACCATTAAAGTTGCTGGTTTTATTTTCTAGAATTTACATTTGGTGACTAATTTAACAATTAAAGCTTTCAGGGTTTAATGCACTGCTGGAATAATTAGAATTAATAATTTATAAGTTGCCATGTAAATGTAGTAAAAGGTAGAAAATAAGAGGATGCAACCTTAACTTTTTGTACATACAAACTATGGGAGGGGGGTCTAGACTCTCAACAGTTTGCATATAGTTTTCTGATTCAGGCATCTTTAAATTAGAGGTTAAAAGAACTGCTTATTTTTTGTTCCAGCGATGATTCTATTATTGGAGTGCAAAACAGAAAGAGAAATTTGAGAAATTTGAACCTGTGCCTAAATTTAGGTTTGTTAAGTTGGCCCGATAGCTAGCTAGGAGCTTAACTAGGTGTATAAATTTATTTTATTCCCAATTTGATTACAGTTAGCTCTGACTATTAACCCTTATGTATTACCAAATTCAGTACTTTCAGTTCTCCTCATTTCTATGAAATAACATAAAATGAATTAATATTCATTGGCTCTTATTTCTGATTTTTAAAAATCCTGGTGCTCTCTGTTTACTGTAAAATTTTTAATGAGGCAGAATTGTTATAGGAGTATTTAAGTTACATTTTAAGGTCTTTGTATTTGCATGCATGTTTTAGCCAGTTTATACAGTATAGGTATTGGAAGCTTTTGAATCCCCGAGTCAAACAATGAATTATTAAACCTGACTGTTTTATATTAGTAGTCTAATCATTATAACATGTGTAATCAAATGCAATAATATTCATAGGCTCAGCATGTATTTTTTTTTCGAACAATATGATATGTGTTGGGTTCTATTCTAGGTTCCCTAATTGTGGGGTGATCAAACAGCATTTTCTATCTTCACGCATGTGTCTGAACACATGAAATAAGGGAGAGATGGGACCTGGACACTCAGGTTTACATTAGGGTGATTTATGGGATAGGAATTAGTGTTGGTTATGTGGTTGCATGTATTCCATACTGACTGTGCATTACGGGTAATTATAGTGCTTGACTCTTCCACCTCTTCCGACTACTGGTGATGTTCTTGCGTTATTATTTATCGCGTTATTAACTGTGTTTGGTGCTAAAATGGCTCATTATGACGCAAGTACAGTTTGGTGTTTGTGCCTTTCACTGGAGTTGACAATCATAAGCGGTGCGTTACTTTTGCTGTCGGTTTGCTTACTAAGGAAGATGTTGAATCGTATGAGTGGCTATTGAAGAGATTTAAGACTGCAATGGGGAAGAGCCCGACATGCGTTGTCACTGACCAAGACCCTGCTATGCAGATTGCTGTTGCACAAGTTTGGCCGGAGTCCCGTCACCGTTTTTGTATGTGGCACATCATGACAAAGGTTAGCGAAAAGGTTGGGCCTGATTTAGTGAAGGACCTGGACTTCCGTAACCGACTGAATGGCATTGTATGGAATGAAACTATCACCCCCACCGAGTTCGAGGTGCAATGGCATTTGTTAATGGGGGAGTACAACTTAACAGGCCATCGGTGGTTCACCAAATTGTATGCTGAGCGGGGGTTTTGGATTCCAGCATACTTTTCAGATACTCCAATGAGTGGGTTGCTCCGCACCATGTCCCGGTCTGAAGCAGAGAACGGCGTCTACGGAAGGTGCACCCGGTCGCACTTCAGTTTGGTCGAGTTTTATATGCAGTATGAGAGTGTTTTGGAATCCCAGCGTCATAAGCAATCTAAGTTGAACGCTCAGTGCGAGGGGTACTTGCCCGAGTTTCAAACCCCCTTAGCACTAGAGTGGCATTTGGCACAGGTGTTCACGTTAACAATCTTTTATGATCTACAAAAGGAAATTGCGGCTGCCTGTTTTTATTGCAGGGTGGTGGGTATTTGTGAGGCTGAGGGTGTTATCAGTTACAACATTACAGGGGAGTGCACCACCCAATACACTGTGAAATATATCCGGGGCGAGGGCAATGTGTCATGCAGTTGCAAGTTGTTTGAGAGGTTGGGCTTAGTTTGCCGGCATATGTTCATGGTGTTCAGGGATGCACAGATTGACAGCTTGCCGCCGGTGTACGCGATGACGCATTGGTGCAAGGGGGTCGTAGTTGGCGTATGTTGTGGGCGGTGTGACATTCCTACGTCCAGGTCTGTTCCTAGCCTACTATGGAGTGAGATGCACGCATGCGTTGGGGTTGCAGGCAACAATACAGCTCGCCAGTCGTGGATGTTGCAAGTTTTAAAAGACCTTAGAGCCGAATTTCTGAGCGACGGTATGAGCGTTGCCCCTCCAAAGGGTAACAGTGCAGCCATTGCGGCGTTATGCGGAGTCGAGCGTCCGATGTCCATAACCATCTTGGCACCCGTGCAAGCTAAAAACAAAGGGACCGGGAAACGTATTAAAAGCCAACGAGAGTTAGTGGTGGAAAGAAGTGCCAAGGCCGGGCGAAAGTGCGGGGTGTGCGGCGAGTACGCACACCATAATGCCCGTAGTTTCCCTCACAAGTGAGCGGCCCAGTTTCGCCCCCTCTTGACCGGTTTGTTTTGGGGTTTGGTTAATTCATTTATTTTATTTGCTGCCTTCCTGAAACCATTTTTCACTGTATCTTTCAGTTGCTCAACGTATTTGTGTTATGTGTCCAGATGTGCTGGTGGTGTTGCTGGTTGACGTGTCCCTCGCATGTGGTGCACCAGAATAGAATGCAACACGGACAAGTTTGCATGAGCAACTGTTGATTGAACTGTTTTCGCAACATCGTATGGGCAGTTGTGTTGTTTGGTTCGTGTTGTTTAAGGATCCAAGACGTTCTTCCCTAAAATTTGTTTCTGTTTTTTTTTTTTTTTTTTTTTTTTTGGCTTTCGGTTTTTTGTTATATTCCGTTTTGGACCACTTGTTCGTTGACTCCACGGGTTTCCAACAGTGCGTTAACAAGTCGGTGCACTAGTAAGGTAGCTGCTTGCATTTGTTTTATGAATAACATTTGCCATGTTAGTTCTGTCACTTGGTTGGTTGTTAATTTTGTGCAGCGTAAAGATCATAATTCGTTCAGTTATTTCCCACAAGCAGGTTGTTATCTTATCGCTGCAGTTAGGGGGGTCAATTTCGTTTTTTTGCCATGTAGTTATAAGTTCGGTTTTTGATTATTTATTTTTTTATTTATATATTACAATACCCGGTTTCACAAAACACCCGCAAAGTAGTAATATAAAGCTTATTTGCACTCAGTGTAATTATCCAACCACACTGTTTTATTATAATTAAAATTCCAAAAAAAAAAAAAACCCACTGTTGGATCTAATGCATTAGGGGTGGGATTGCATTAAGTATACGCGCATACATTACCAGTCTTGATGCTGATACCCAACAGAATGCACAGCTAACCAGTAATGTATAAAAATGAGAATCCTAATGCACTACTCACTAACACAAATAGTATAAAAAAAACACAAATACAAATAGAGGACCAGAACTTAAAAGTAGATGCAAAAAGTTTTGTTGAACCTACAGTGGTTTTCTCATAACGTAGGTTTTGTACTCTGTAGTGCCCTACGTTTGGTGTACTGTGCAGTTGATTATTTTCTTTTTGATGAATAACAGGTGTCACCCGACAGTACGTACGATGCACTACATGTAAAAGTTTTAATGATCCTAAGGGTGATATTGAACACTACTACCATTAAAGTTGCTGGTTTTATTTTCCAGAATTTACATTTGGTGACTAATTTAACAATTAAAGCTTTCAGGGTTTAGTGCATTGCTGGAATAATTAGAATGAATAATTTGTATTCTTAAGAGTTTGTAGATATTTTTTATTTAGATTATATGGTAATAGAATTCTTGAATTTGGAATCGAAACGAAATCGGAAGAATAAGTGCAAAGAATGTAGAACTAAATAAATAGGCTTTTTCATCTTTCTACATGAGTCTATATGATAATCACCCTTATTATTTCTCTTCATTTATTTGTATTTTGTTCTTGTCTTCTAATTGAATAATTCAACTAGATGTATAAAGAGATCTAGCCCATCTAAAAAAAAAAAAAAAAAAAAAAAAAAAAAAAAAAAAAACCCAGTTTATAAATTATAAATAAAAACCCCAATTTATAAATTATTGTTGTTCATGCCCCCCGCTTAGGCACCTGTTTGACTGGTGGTTGTGGCAATGATCTGTGCAACCCTGTCGCGATCGTAGTCCCCCACGCGTGTGACAATATTTCTCATGTGGACATTTACGCCACTAAGGAGGATGTTGTGCAGTAAACGCTTGCGAAGGTTGAGCATTAGAGCAGCCCCCGCTGCATGTAGCCCACAGTACCAGGTGGAGGATTTCTGCCCAACGTAGGATTCCATGTGCCTCATCGTATATATTGCTGACTCTACACCGGCGGTCGCCTCACCCCATGCCAACATCTTCCTTTTAGGCTACATTCCCCTCAGGTGTAGTGCACGCACCGGTTGTTTTTTGATGTCCAGATATCCTGCTAGGAGGTCCCTCTGTAGTGACCACCAACTTAAACTAGTAAGTGGATTAGAACTAATCGGTGGGACGCATGGTTTGCAATATGTGTTACTTACCAATTCATCAGGAATACGTCCATAGATTTGTATGCCATCATTGGTAGCGGGGGCGCTGTCAATAATGTCAAAGGTGCCATGTTTGAAGCTGATGCTGACCATGTAGTACCGCCTCTCATGCATAATCGGGAAGATATACTGCAAGAACAAGTACTGACTGTTACATGACAATCAGAGACAACTACTACAAACTACTATAGTGCAATGACTAAACATATACAAACGCACTTCCAGTTGCACGATAAACATATATAAACTATTATAGTGCAATGAGTCCCCCATAGCCCCAAAGAATGCAGTAACGGTTACCATGTCTAAGGTTGCAAACCCCACATGGTCGGTAGCCTGCATCTCCGCATCAAGTCTTCATGTGACCCACGCGAGCCTCTCAGCCCGGCTGCACATTGCAGCAACCACCGTCCCAATCTGCATGCACCTACTGTTAGACGCTGACAGCACATAAATCTGAATCTAGCAATACATATATACCTATTTTTAAACACTCATAACTAACTGTTCATGCAGTTATGACACACTCATTTTCTTATTTTGTACTTATACCTGTTTTTTAAAATTGGGGCTTCTGTTAATTTTTATTACATGACACGATAGTCTTGGGGACCCCTATATGAACTCATCACAAAGAAAAAGTCATAAAGTTTCCGAAATTACAGTAGGGGATCAATTTCTAATATTAATTCATAAGTTTCCAAAATTCGTTGCCTAAATGGATAGATCTTCATATCCGCCACACTGTATTACTTTACTCCATTTATTAATTTATTCTATTATTCTGTAAAAGTGTAAGCTGTCGTAAACAAAATAGATTGATGGGCACCCCTCGCCGACAGGGGCTGTTAATGATACGTACAGACACATACCGTAGTCGCTGGAGTTAAAAACATGCGGGAAGACACCCCCGACTTCCTAAAGTTCTCCATCCCATTGAGCACAAAGCACCATGCATCTACGATTGCTTTAGAGATGTTAGACCCCTCCTTGAGTGTGATGAAGTCTGCCCATCTCGCCTTCCGGGTAGCGTGCTGGAACAACACCTCATTGCTAACAAAGTAAACGTACGCCGCGTGTTATATAGAGTTTATGTCCTAATTTTCCAAGCTCCGGTGTAGAGTACTTACCAGTCACTGTGCGATGAGCCAAACAGCCACTTCCAAACAACGTGCACGGGTGGTAAGGGGATTGTGGGGTATCCCTTAGAGGGGCCGAAGAACATGCCAACCGGTTCGCTCCCAGGACCGAGGGGACTCTTGCCTTTGTTGTCCGCTCCAGGTCTCCTGCCTGGGGGCACCTGCGGTGGTGGTGACTCCAACATGACCCCCCCCTTGTTGTACCTGCACAAGTTAATCAGGTATCCTTGCATAACTAGAGTAGTCCATAGAACGCGTGGTGTTTAATCCGTAACCTGCTGAGTCGGCGTGGTGGTATTCGACGGGCCAGCCGTCATATTCCCAATCCTTGGTGATGGCAGCCTCCTCAACCCTCGTTGCGGCGTAGTGCTCCCCCCCGCCTGCTGCCCCTGTAACACACGGTTAAGAAAACATTAGCATATTATATGTAGACCAGCCCAATAACAAAACCCGCCCTCCCCGCAAGAAAATAAGTATATGAAGAGCATTAAAACGAAGGTGAATTTATATCAGAAAACATCAGCGTATCTAGAACATGTCCTGCACACTCTATCATTCCTTAATAACCGAACCTAACTGGTTTCGATTGATGCATGCCCATCTAACTCTATCTAACACCCGCACAGGACGTTCAAATGTTAAAATGCTAACATACGGGCCAACGGAACGCAATCTCACTGTTTAAATCGTAAGCAAACTCCCAAGAGGGCAAAACTAGATTACCCCAGTGACCTGTGCAGGTGGTGTGGTCGCATTCAACGGGCCAGCCGTCATAAACTCCATCCCCAGGCTAAAACTTGGTGGCTCGAATCCTTCTTGGTGCGGTCTGTTCTCCCTCCCTAGCACCCCCTTAAACAACCATTGAGAGCACGCATTAGTAATAGGACATGTAAGTTATAACGGCCATCATCCATAGTGCAGCGTCGGTAATGCACAATCCTCACAACCAACATTTCTGCACTGAGTGCTAGGGGATACCTACTTACCAATAACACGGTGACAAAAATGTAGCTAGAAAAAGAAATGAAAAAAATAGACAACAGAAAACTTTCATAATGAATTTGAAACCCAGCTTTTACAATTCAATATAACCCCCATACTCTAACTGAATGAGCTATGTTTAAAGCCCTTACCTGCTGAGTTTGCGTGGTCCTATTCGACGGGCCACCCGGCATCCCTAGGCTAAAACTTGGTGGCTCGAACCCTTCTTGGACCGGAATGTCATCCCTGTCCTGCACCCCCTGAATAGCAAGCATTAGTAATTAGACATATAAGATTTAACGCCATGTAACCCCACCCTGTAGTAGAACTATAGCTAACAACTGCCAAGATACCATGCACCAGCGCCGAACCTGCCGAGATGACGATGCTAGTCCCCACGTGGCAGCCTCCTCAACCCGGTCGATCTCCCTGAATAACTGGGAGGACTGCCAAAACGGGTCTTCGTGATGCTGTAGAGATAAGACTGGCGCGCGGGTCACTTCCAGGATCCGGTTGGGTGCGTCCTTGTTGGGGTCCGGTACCAGGCTTGCGACCAAACTGGCCACCTCGCCGAGGTGGTGGGAATAGAGGTGTTCCTGGGCTCGCCTGGGGTTTAAGCGAACCTTATCTGCGATGCGGGAGGCTAATGCACGGAGGTCTGTAACCATGGAGCCTAGTTCATGGCCAACCCCTTACAGTAGGAACATGGCCCAACCAATAAATACGCTTGCGTCATGATGTCTAAGCATATTTAGCAAAGCACCGGGTTAATATGCATACCCTGTCTGCATCTGGAGTGAGGTCATGGTGCACCCGGTGGTCCTCCGGTGCACCTCGGTTACCCGTGGTACCTCCTTGAGGGCTCGGGGCCTGGATGTGCAACGTGGGTGCACGGGACTGTGCGCTGACCTGCAGCCTCACGGCCGATCCAGAACTGTTAGTGGGGAACTAACGCGGTACGGCC